TAATTTTGTGAATGTTTCAAGTTGTGTTGTTCTGTCATGTTGGATATTGCCACCCTTGGTCAAGGTCTCCTAGTAATTACCAAGAACTTCGTTTGTCTCTTTTACACAACAATTGCATTTAAACGTGCTTAGGCTTTGTGGATTTACCAATTGTGCATACTTTCTTACTAGATCTTTTTTATTACATTTGGTCGACATCAATGTCCCTGGTGAATAAAATAACCAATTTTAGATTAAATAGTGTAGCATATAATTAGTTAAATTCAAGGATTCAGTTGACTCTACAATAAAATATATCAAGTAATTAATGATCCTATAAAATACATGATTAAGTATAGTCGATATTCATAACTTTAGAATAGTCATATCTTCAATATAGATTAATCAAATAAGTTCAAGGATCAAATCGGATAAGTATGCAAGTAACCAAGCAGTTAAAATTAATATCCACAAATTTCTAATAGTTATAGCATCAATATAGAGGAGTGGTCTTAAATACTAGCAACAATTATAAAAAATGAAAGAATTGACAGAAAGGGCAGCCCATTCGTCCTTCATGTAATCCTTTTTTAGTATTAAGCCTAGTAATGAGGCTCATTACTTAGGGGTCCGAGAGGATCAAATGTATACAACCATACCGTTATGCACAGATGGACTCTTTCCATGACTAAAACTCTTAGGACTCGTTTGGTAGACGTATTATGAGGTGATTAAATATTGGATTGTACTATTTTTTATTTAATCGGGCATAATACTTTGTTTGGTAAGCAAATTTGATACCGTATTAATTTAAAAAACGTATACTAATCATATACTTATCGTATATTTTTTATACGTTAGAGTTGTATTATGGAAGTATTTTAATACCACCAAAGAGGTTTTATTATAATCTAATTCAAAATATNTATTTAAAAAGTGTAAATATTTTAACCTCAACAACTTCAACATGTTTTGGGTTAGGGTTGGCATCAGTGTTGTGTTATAATTGGGTCGTGTCATTTTGATATTTGTGTCAAAAACTCCTTAATTGACTCATTTAATTAAGCATGTAAGGTCGTTCGAAATGAACATGACTGAGCAATAAACACGGTTAACCCGACCCGACATGTGGAATACGATTAATAAACGGGTTGTGTTCGAGTTGACATGACCCATATGACATGTTAACCATGGCTAACACAACTTGTAGATCAACTTGTTTAATCATTAACCAATTTAATCGGTTTAGATCTATTTAACATAACATAAATCAAACCCAAAAAACTACATATTTTATTCGTTTCATTCACATTTTAGACCTATTTAGCATAATTGTTTTTTAAAAAATTTTAATGGGTCATATTTGTGTCATTGACGAATCAATCTCAGGTCACATTTAATGGGTCATGGTCATGTCATTGGCCGATTAATTTCGTGTTTGTGTCAATACAACGGGTCAATCGTGTAGATTTCACATTACATTGGTTGAATCAAAACACAACCCGTATACAATCTCGTATTAGCAGGTCTTGTCATTTTTGTGTTTGTGTTGAGAAATTTTTAATCTTAACCAACTAATTTTGTGAATGTTTCAAGTTGTGTTGTTCTGTCATGTTGGATATTGCCACCCTTGGTCAAGGTCTCCTAGTAATTACCAAGAACTTCGTTTGTCTCTTTTACACAACAATTGCATTTAAACGTGCTTAGGCTTTGTGGATTTACCAATTGTGCATACTTTCTTACTAGATCTTTTTTATTACATTTGGTCGACATCAATGTCCCTGGTGAATAAAATAACCAATTTTAGATTAAATAGTGTAGCATATAATTAGTTAAATTCAAGGATTCAGTTGACTCTACAATAAAATATATCAAGTAATTAATGATCCTATAAAATACATGATTAAGTATAGTCGATATTCATAACTTTAGAATAGTCATATCTTCAATATAGATTAATCAAATAAGTTCAAGGATCAAATCGGATAAGTATGCAAGTAACCAAGCAGTTAAAATTAATATCCACAAATTTCTAATAGTTATAGCATCAATATAGAGGAGTGGTCTTAAATACTAGCAACAATTATAAAAAATGAAAGAATTGACAGAAAGGGCAGCCCATTCGTCCTTCATGTAATCCTTTTTTAGTATTAAGCCTAGTAATGAGGCTCATTACTTAGGGGTCCGAGAGGATCAAATGTATACAACCATACCGTTATGCACAGATGGACTCTTTCCATGACTAAAACTCTTAGGACTCGTTTGGTAGACGTATTATGAGGTGATTAAATATTGGATTGTACTATTTTTTATTTAATCGGGCATAATACTTTGTTTGGTAAGCAAATTTGATACCGTATTAATTTAAAAAACGTATACTAATCATATACTTATCGTATATTTTTTATACGTTAGAGTTGTATTATGGAAGTATTTTAATACCACCAAAGAGGTTTTATTATAATCTAATTCAAAATATATTATTTTATACATTTACTATTATAACCTCCAACTGATAAAATCAAACTGTCATCAATGTAATAAACACTGATTGAAGGTATTTTTGTTAATTCAACATTAATACGATAAAATAATTTCTTAACCAAACAGCCGATTGGATTAAATAATTACTATCCAACGATTATGTTGTGTATTACCAAATATTAGATAAAATTACGTATTATTCTAATACCTTATTTAGTCTTATCTTTTGTTCTTCTGTATTGTATTAGACCGGATTATTTTATCTAATCCATCAATTCATTTTTAATACGGCAATCAAACGAGCCCTTAGCGTCTTACCATGCCAAGGACCACATAAAATGAGAGAAATATTTTTAAGTTTTTGTTTGTGACTTAAGACTATAGGGCCAGATCAATTAAAGAACAAAGAAAGTCAGGTTTAACATAAAAATAAGAAAAGAAAGGATTGAACCTACAAAAAATAGAAAAAATTAGAGTTAGGAGACTATTTGTGGGTTGGAGAAGAAGAAGAAGAATAAGAGAGGGGGAAGACTTAACTATTGAGTTTGAGAGGGGGGCGAGGGCGAGGTTACAGGGCCTCAGGTCTCCTACCATAGATTTGTGAGGAAAGAGAACATAAACTTAGATTAGAGGAAAAAAATTGCCTACGAAGAACAAGAAAATGATGACGACAGAGAAAGCTAACGTCTTACCTATCCATGATCGTAGAGGGTTTCGAATGCTAGCCTCAAGGCGCATAGATTTGTTGCACATAACAGGTAGTGATAGATATTTATACGGTGGTACAGTGCACGAGGCTTGCACAATTGCAGGGTTGGGAGTGGGACAGATGTACGTACCATTATTCTTGTATTTGTCGACGCTCATGTCACAATGGGCCAATCTTATCATTGTGTCAAAGCCCATGGTCAGGGGTAGATGTTTAAAGATGAAGCGTAATCTTTTGTCATGCATATCACATATTTCTTGAAATTCGACTCATTGAATGGCGCAAAATATATCACCGAAGGAAAGAAAATACACCTGATGTGCCTTAGTCCCAAGGTGCGCACACATATATATTTCCAAAATACCAACATGGGCTCTATTAGATGATTCTAACTAACATAATTATAGAGATTGTAGAGCTGTGGCAATTGACATTCTAATGGGAAATGGGTTCATATGATCAACTCTAATGATGGATTTGGAGAGAGTAAGAGACCCTTGCGGCTTGATTGTTTTAAACTTATATGCATAATTTAGTGTTTGTGATGGTTTTTAAGGGGCAAGAGGGTTGTTTCTTGTTCCCACATAGCTTCATTTCTAGAGCCTTATGTGTGGATTGAAATTTATCCTTAAATTCTGATGGTGTAATTGAGGCTCTCTTTAGAATGAAAACTAGCTGGGAATAAGCAAAGTTATTATGATTGGAGAGATTAGTGTTCTTAAAAATGCCCCTACGCCTAAGGCCCAGTGAGGCACAGGGTTAGAGCTTTAAGAACTCAAGGCAAGGCGAGTGTAGGAAAGCGTGACTTAAGTGCAAAAAATGCGAGCTTCAGGCTTAGGCTCAAGTCGCTTGAAGCCACACTTTTCTCCTTTTATGATGTTTTTTCTATGATGCATCTTAGACTATAGGATTTGTCGATTTGAATACTTCTATCATATCCTACCATACTTGATTTTAACTTTTAGACTATATATACTTAAACCTAATCCTAACCTTTGTTTCTCTAACAATGGGAGGAAACAGACGGAGCAAATTCCTCACCGATCATCAGGTTCTTCAACAGGTCTTCTTCTTCACCGATTGCTGCAACTAATTTTTTTGAGCTATCTTCTTCTAATTTTAGTACTGTGTCCATTTTTTTGGGTCGTTCTCTTTTCTTCTCTTCTTTTAATCAATCTCTTTCCTGATTTTTCTTCTGGCTCCACCGATTGCTGCCCTGTTTGCCTTGTTTTGGTTCTTTATTTTCCTGTTTGTTTTGTGACTTGTATTATTTCTGGGTCCACCGGTCCTTGTTTTGTTCGAAGGTCAACCTCTTTTTCCATTTTTTGGCCACTCTGTCTCTGTTTTTTATTTTTTGATCATCACTTGGGTGATATTTGAACCAATCAAAGTTGATTGTCAGTGACTGGTTTTGTCTTATGTTTCATGCCCTGGAGAAAAATGTTAGTACCTATGATGTGTTGACTGGAACATGGGACAACATACACCTCTCCTTCTGAATGGTTCAACTTCAAACAATCAGTTTCATACTAGTCTGTTTCAATTCATTCAAATTATCAACTTCAAACCACTTCATATTTTTGATTATTGTTTGTGGCGTTGTGATTTCTCAAACCACCTGTTTGCTTTTTCTTCATATTTTGACCTATTCTGTATAAACCACCTGTTTATGTTTTGTTAAACAATTAGAACATGTTGTATACACATATTCTAATTGCTTGATTAATTCAATACATGTCTTGTAATGTTTAATTTTTTGTGGTCATGACTGGAATATTTTTGATATAAGAAAAATTATTCACTTGCAATTTACAACGTGCGCTTCACAATGAAGTCCGCATTTTGCTTCTTGCCCTGCCCTTTGGCCCCAGAAGACAAGACAGTAATGCTTAGGTGTGCGTTAACACTAGGAAAGATGTAGCCGTTGAAGTTATTATGGTTCTGTTTCGATGATTTAGCTAAGATAAGTGCATGTACTGATAATTGGATTCTTGTCATTCTTAGTTTGAATTCATATTATTCTTGTTTGCCTCTTGCATCAAGCAATTATTTTTTTTGTGAGTGTCTCTCTTTTAAAATTTATGCCGTGGTTGGTACCAACTCAAAAACTTGAGGTTTGGTTCCAGATTCTTCGTTCTGATTGTTGTCCTGGTAACATTGATTATGTGAGGAAAGAGAAGAGTATAGAACATTAATACTCGTAGTATTTGTATTTTCTTTTAAGTTGACATTATCCTTTAGTTAAGTTTGGCTGGGACGTAGCATATTGAACTAGTGCAGGATGGAGAAATCAATATTTGTGATCAATGTAGGTATTTCCCATCTGAAGAGAAGTTATAGAAGTCGGTAATAGAGCTAATGATGCTTGATGATACAACATTTCCCAATCAAGAAACAGGTTATATATAAGTAATTCAAACAAACATTGCCCGTTAACGATTATGAATGTTAGGAAGAGAAAATATGCCATAAAAGTGAAAATTTAGGCAAGAACTTAGAAGTACTACCATTTGATGTAGGCCTATTAATGCAAGAGTTGTTTGATTCTAGTTGATGGCACTAGTGTTGTTTAATACGTAATGCGTACTAAAGCTCTAATGACTTCTGTGGCCTAACCGCCCTCCCGCCGATCAAGCGGTCGTTTACGAATATGAGTTTTCTTGCCTTATTCCGGACCTATAAATAGGGAGTCTTTTCTTCAGTTAGCGTAAGTCTCTTGTAAACCTTTTGAGAGAGAATATTTGATGGGTTGTGAGAGAATACCACAACCCTAAATTTCTAAAACTCAAGGCTACCAATAGAGATTTTACCCAACTTTACAAACTTGGTGTTGGAGATGTTGATGGTTTGAACTAAATCCATTGGTGTGTGCATACCGGGAAGGTGAATCCAAGTGAATCTACATAGTTGTATTCAATGCATTCAAGCTAAGTGAATCTGTAGAATTCCTCATTGACTTTGATTGTATTCAATGCATTCAAGCTAAGTCAAGCTAAGTGAATCTCAAGTGAATCCAATGCATTCAACATAGTTGTAGCTTGATTTCTCAAATCTTGTTGCTTTTAATTGTATGTCTTCAAGTACATTGAAAGTTGTGAATTGATGATTTTTTTCCCAGCTTAGGTTTTCTTCCTTTTAAGACCATCTGTTTTCTACTTACTGACCAATGGAGCATGGAACGTGGTATGGAATTTTGAAGCAATAGATATTTGTGCGACAGTTTACGCTACATGATATGAACTTAGGCATGTGTTCCTTTGATAAATATTTAGAATATCTGTAGAATTCCTCATTGGATTCTGTTAGTGATCTCAAGTTCTGCTACTACTCATCGATATGAGTTCGTCATAGCTGAGTTTATTAATCAGTTGTTAATGTCTTCTTCGCAGATTGTTTCTGTACAATCAAAGTCATTGATGAATCCCGTCCAAGCCCTGGTATTTCTGTTAATATTTTTGCAGAAAATATGGAGAAGCTCCCTCATGTTGATTCCACTGGAGATATAATTCAGCTCGCTTATGTTGTGGTATATTAATTTTTTTCCCCACTTTAATGTCTTTTGACTAAATGATCTCATAGTTAATGTTTGGTTATTTGTTATTTTTCAACCATAGTTTTTGTTTTTCTGAATGTTTTTGCCTTCCTAGGAGATATGTTATGGTTGTAATCCCATGTTTGATTTATATACATCCAGCGACATTTAGCCCCTTTTGGATGTACTTTCCTAGAATAAAGGATATTTGGTTGATGGGATTAAATTCTTTACGGGCAACCCCGTAAAATAATTAGCCAATCAAAATTGAGGAGTTACACAAACACATAAATCAATGTTGAGGATTCCCTATGAGTTTGTGTAACTCCTCAATTTTGATCGACTATCTGTAAACAATTTGTTTATTGGCAGCCTATAAAGAATCTATTCACTTGGTTGATATTAGTTAGAATGTGGCTGTTATTGTTGTTGAAGTATAATTTCTTGGTTTTAGATGGGGATCGAAAATGAGTAGGATGAGGAATGTAGTTGAGAAATAGAATCTAGAAATTTATTTTAGCAATAGTTATAAGACCATTATATCCCCCCTTGCAATACTAAAAAGACAATTTTACCCTCCCACCATAATTTATAGAATTTCTCAATTAAGCCATTTTGATAATTAATCATCATATTAAATGTAATTTTAGAAACTAATTGTCCAATTCCATCATTTAACAATAATTTTAATAGCCAATAAACATATTAACAAGTATGGTTTTTTTATCACTTTGTTTATCCTCCATCACCACACACCAACGCCAACCCCACACCCATCAATGAGTCAGTGACCCTACCGCCATTCCTCTTCTCCCTTTTGTTTCCCCTTAATTTATTCACTGCCTTCTCCCATAGTTACCACCTACCACCTAGGGTATTTTAGGAAATATATAAATTTTTTTAGTTGTCACCAGTTACATTGAGTCATCCAAACGTCTGATAGGCATAAACAGTCTGTCAGTCATGTCAAATGTATGAGGCCTCTTTGATTATGGAGGAGTTTTGCCATCTTGATCCTGCTCTCTTGGAGTACTTTTGCTTACATGACTCTTATGAGGAGAGTTTTCTGAGAAATAATGGGGATCAGAAAGCAGTAGTATGAGGATTGGAATATTGAAAGTTAGAAATTTGTTTTATAGGTTTTATTATTTTGGATTTATTGAAAATTGAAGTTTGCATTATCTGAGCAATGGTGGACAAGTAGTCCAACCCTATTACATTCAAAAGCAGAAGAAAAAGAAATATGGTAGAACATCCTCCAAAACCTTGAACTATCTTCCACATGATGCCATTCAATTCGATGTAATACAAAAAAGAGGAATATTATTAAATTACTTTGTCCCCAAGACCAAAAAGTAGCTAAGACATAAATTTGATCCCACAATCTTTCCACCACTTCCTTTTTATCTTCAAAATTTCTCGAATTTCTTTCTAGTCAAATGACCCAAACATTTGCAAAGAAAGCACAATGCCAAAGAGTGACATCCCTTAAACCACCACTCAAACCTTTGTAATCTATTGAAAATATGGAAGAGTACTCTTGCTATTACTACTGCTTGGAGAAGAGTTTTTTTTTAGCTAGAGATAAATAATGGGGATCGACAAGGAATTAGATAAGCTTAAATTGAAGAATTGAATTTTATTATCTATTTTAGTATTATTATTATATTATTTAGGGAATATTTGTTTAATTAAGAATGTTTAGTTATTTTGATAGAAGAGTGTAGTGAGTAAACTACCTATTTTGATAGGAGAATTGACCTATAAATATTGATTTAATCCCTACTATTTCATTAGAGAGATTAGTATTCATAAAAGTGATTTTATGTGGAGAACTTGTGTGTTTCTTGTCCTAATCCTTGCAAGGGTTTGGTATCTCTTATTCTTTCTCCTCCTCCTCTTCTTGTCTTGCATCACTGAGTCTCTATCAACTTATCCCAAACCATATTATATTTGATAAATATTACAGTCAAATAATAAATAATAAAAATAACTAAGATAAATTCAAATAATTCTACCAGGTGTATTCCTTTTGCACCAAGCATTCTGTGTCTTCCACTTAGGCTTCCAAAGACGATTATACAGTCCAACCGTATAAAGGCTACACCATCAATTATTCAACCAGTCAATTTGTTGTCGGGTTGGACGGGCTAGCAGGTTGCATGGTTAGGACTGCCACTCCTAATTGAATGTGTTAAAATCATGTATATGATAAAATAAAATTTGTTGCAAATCATTTAAAATTATATGTATGATGTTAGTCTAAAAAACTTGAATATCTATGAAAAATATAAAATCACACCTCCGATTTCTGTTATTATGTAATGTCTATTCCACCCCGCACCCATTTTCTTAGCCTTATTTAAACTCTTCTAAAGACTACAACTCTATACATTTTGAAAGGCATGTGCTTGACAAGAAACATGTTAGATGTAACACCTTCTGGGTTAACCACCTGTCACCTTGTGGGTTAAAATAAAAGAGAAGTTGAAAGAGAGGTATTTGCCTCGTCCCCATAGAGAGCAAATGCATATCTATTGGCTTAACCTTGGCAGCGTTCTTCTTGTGTCTCAAATTACTTTGCACACTTTGAGTACTTGGGAAAAAGATGGGGTNACTGCTTGGAGAAGAGTTTTTTTTTAGCTAGAGATAAATAATGGGGATCGACAAGGAATTAGATAAGCTTAAATTGAAGAATTGAATTTTATTATCTATTTTAGTATTATTATTATATTATTTAGGGAATATTTGTTTAATTAAGAATGTTTAGTTATTTTGATAGAAGAGTGTAGTGAGTAAACTACCTATTTTGATAGGAGAATTGACCTATAAATATTGATTTAATCCCTACTATTTCATTAGAGAGATTAGTATTCATAAAAGTGATTTTATGTGGAGAACTTGTGTGTTTCTTGTCCTAATCCTTGCAAGGGTTTGGTATCACTGAGTCTCTATCAACTTATCCCAAACCATATTATATTTGATAAATACTNTTTTATGTGGAGAACTTGTGTGTTTCTTGTCCTAATCCTTGCAAGGGTTTGGTATCTCTTATTCTTTCTCCTCCTCCTCTTCTTGTCTTGCATCACTGAGTCTCTATCAACTTATCCCAAACCATATTATATTTGATAAATACTACAGTCAAATAATAAATAATAAAAATAACTAAGATAAATTCAAATAATTCTACCAGGTGTATTCCTTTTGCACCAAGCATTCTGTGTCTTCCACTTAGGCTTCCAAAGACGATTATACAGTCCAACCGTATAAAGGCTACACCATCAATTATTCAACCAGTCAATTTGTTGTCGGGTTGGACGGGCTAGCAGGTTGCATGGTTAGGACTGCCACTCCTAATTGAATGTGTTAAAATCATGTATATGATAAAATAAAATTTGTTGCAAATCATTTAAAATTATATGTATGATGTTAGTCTAAAAAACTTGAATATCTATGAAAAATATAAAATCACACCTCCGATTTCTGTTATTATGTAATGTCTATTCCACCCCGCACCCATTTTCTTAGCCTTATTTAAACTCTTCTAAAGACTACAACTCTATACATTTTGAAAGGCATGTGCTTGACAAGAAACATGTTAGATGTAACACCTTCTGGGTTAACCACCTGTCACCTTGTGGGTTAAAATAAAAGAGAAGTTGAAAGAGAGGTATTTGCCTCGTCCCCATAGAGAGCAAATGCATATCTATTGGCTTAACCTTGGCAGCGTTCTTCTTGTGTCTCAAATTACTTTGCACACTTTGAGTACTTGGGAAAAAGATGGGGTATTGATACAAAACCTTTAATTATTATTGCTCAATTTATCAGTGGGTTAAAGCTAGAAATTAAAAAAGAGGATAAATTGTATTCTTTTGACACATTGAATGATACCTACTATTATGATTTAGAAATTGAACGTTGTCAGAGGTTATCCAAAAGAAGACAAATGGCTTTTGGAGCCATGTAGACCCATAATCATGTTGAATGATCCCAATCAAGGAGCTCACACTTTTGAGGTTCAATCAATTCAACGTATTTATAATTCAAGCTAAAGCGACTCTGAAAATGACAAGATGGATCAATTGCGTGGTACTCTAAATTCTATTGAGTCCCTTCCATTGTTGGAAGAGGATAAATGATGAAGATTTATTTTGAAAATTTTAATTATTTAGATATTATTCTGTTTTTATCTTTTAGTAGTAGATTTTGATTTGGAATATTTGATTTTAGGTTTTTTGAGTTCCGATATAAAGGAGTTGATGCTATTATTTTTAGGTACAATTTGATTATTGAATTATTGAGAATATCCCTCTTGCCCTAATTTTTTCTCATCTCTTTCTTATCTGATTTCTTATCCCTTTTCTTTTTTTTTTTTCTCATCCTTTAATTCTTCTCATGGGATTAGATGCTTATGGGATCTTTTATCCTAGTCGGAGGATAATTTACCAAACGTCTAGCTTTCTCTCACGCTTGGCGCCAATGAGGTTTTTATTTGAGAGAGAAAAAAAAAAAAAGACTATGCCTTCGCCATATGAAATATGAATATTAAGTAATAATAGCATGACACTTTGAATTTGAAATGAGAAAGTTTTTTATTGTTTTTTCAAAATATTAGATTATGTATCGAAAGAGTAGTATGAGATTAAAGGTATTTCCGATTTTTTCTTTTATCTAACGGGAGTCTAGTTCAACATTACAAACTTTTTTGTTTTCACACTAAAGGACTTTTAACATATGTTATGAGAGAGTGCGAAAATAAAAAATATCGACGTTGTGAAAGATATATGCCAGAAGTGAGCTTCAATACCTCTATTCCAAGAAAATACTTATACTCTCCACTTCATTTCCAAACCTTTCAAAAAGGTTGCTACCGGTCATGACTAGATCGTCCACATTGATCATGGGTCTCACTAATCCATTCCAAATGTGTGAGAGAGAAGGAGACCAAGAAAGCCTAAGGTCAATCGGATCCCGTGTGAGCTTGTGGTATTCGTCTTCCTAAT